CAGGAAGATCTGGCCACAGGGGGCATGGGGGCATCATTGCACAGTTCTACGAACAAGTGTTTACCCATAATTGAAAAAGAAGTTCTGGTTGGACTGGCTGTAATTGAAAAAGAAGTTCTGGTTGGACTGGCTGGTTAAAGTGTGCAATATTCATATAACAAAGACACACACTGTACAACAATCACCTTAACATGGGGAAATAGCAGCAGAAAGGATTCTGCTCAAGCTCCACACATATTGTGCCAATCGTACAAGTATATTTTATTAAGGTGTGATTAAGCTGCCATTTGTTTTGTATTTGATTTATTCCTAGGCTTTTCACATTTTGACAAGAAAACACCTTATTAAACTTCACCATCATTTTTCATTGCTTTCAGGTTGCAGTTCTACTCCTACTCTCTATCCACAGCTTTATAATGCCCAGAGGTTTTATTTGAGAGAGAGGCGTTGCTTAGAGCTAATCCCTCTCCATAATTTCCCTTAATATTATGGTATTTTCCAGGATCCTAGGATTTAGAGTTTAATACTGTGAATGGTTACATAGGCAGAGCATGAATGGGATGATGGTTGAAGGCTGTATGTGCAGACATGAACACAAACGGGGAGTAAGTTAAAAGGGAGGCGGAGGAGAAAGACGACAGTATCCCCAGGGGAGCCCCATCTGTGAACACTTCACCACTCCCCAACGAATGGAGCTCTGCGTGGGCACAGGTGGATCCCAGTCTCCTGCTGGAGCAGAGAGCACTGCATAGCCTGAAAGAAGACTTTTCATTACTGCTGGCTGTTTGGATTGGAAAACGGCCATCTCAAACATTTGCAGGTGGCTTGGCCATACTTTGACACTTAAATATTTGAGGCCGTGATAAAATCAGAATATTACTACAATATGGCGCTATACAAAGTGTAATGTGCAATCCTTAATATGAAATGTATGTTAAAAGATCTATTCCCAGGAGACTACTAAGAAATTCACATTTGAAATTAGTATACTACTTATTCCCAAATGTTTTGGTTTTAATGTGTTTTGGGAGGGAATGGAAATGAAAGCAAGTCCATCCAAGTTCTTTTGCCTTTCATGCTCATGTTACAACTGTTTCGAGGCATACATTTTCAAAAGGCTCACATTTTTTATTTTTGCTTATCCTCCTATGGCAAATAGGAAAACTCATAAGTCTCTCAAATTCATAATCCTGTTTGTAACAGCTCCGAAAGAGTCAGGGGAAAATAAGGGAAATGTTGACATCATGTGCGCTGATGCTATCGAAAAAAGCACTTTGATACCCATCAATGCCTTCTCCTTAGTTTTGAATACCTCCATTCCAGCATGGAAAGCATATACAAAAATAAGATGTCATGTGATCAGAGAGGAGAGCGAGGATAAATATTACATCTGACAGTCCTTCAACTGATAGTATCTGAAATTTGTTTTCCCTGATGTATTTTTACAGAAGGGATGCAGGGATTTATGGTTATGTACTGAGGTTTCCACAATATTTACTTGTAAAGCACAGGTCAAATTCAAACATACTTCACCTGCAATACGAAAGCAGTTACATAGTTAGTCAGGTTGAAAAAAGACACATGTCCATCGAGTCCAACCTAAGCAACCTAAGCAGTATCAAAAAAATATATATTTCTAGAATATCTACATAATGAAATCAACACATTTGTATAGGTTTACAAACACGCAGTTCCGAAACTACTCCAAGCAAGAGAAATCAGTTCAGTTCATGATGAAGGAAGTGGGCTGCCAGGCCCCCAGGAAACAAACCACTCAACATATTGCCAAGTGACCATTCTATACAACAATGGCAACAAGGTGAGTGACTAGAATTTGATCTTTGTTTTATATTTTAGATCTAGCAAACATACTCGCTTGAAAGAGTTGACCACAAACTGTAAACAGTTGATGATGCAAAATCATGCACACTGCTGGTCTAGACTTACACAGTTATAACCTGGAATTGCAGCCTTGCAAGGACAGACTCAAAGTGACATTAAACTCAGGAGTTAAATGATAAAAATGCATTCAAGTACCTTAACTATTAACAAAACTGTAACTTATTTGTGTATCACTCAGCTGTAGCTCCTCAAATCATCTCTGCATTGGTGCTGACACTGTCCTTCCTTCTGGAGGGGGGCTACTTTTGTTCCCCGTGGTCCCTGTGTGTGTTGTAAAGTAGCCACCGCTCCATCCAAGCTCGCTCCCGTGATGGACTACAATCTCACATTTAGTTTTCTCATTTGTATTGAGATTGTATTCCATTACGGAAGTGAGCTCGGATTGGTGGCAATGGGAACAAAAGTAGCCGCTCTCCACATGTAAGGACAGTGTCACCATGAATTCAGAGATGATTTGAGGATCTACAGCCGAGTGATATACAAATAAGCTAGATTTTTGTTAATAGGGTACTAAATGCATTTTTAACATTTTACTCCTGAGTTTAGTGTCAATTTAATTCTAACATCAGTAAAAACAACATCTTGGTCAATGCTCAATGGCTGCTTATGAGATAGTGGACAATCTGGGTTGCTACTTAAATCAGAATAAACTTTGGGGGGAATTTATCAAAACTGGAGCCGACAAAATCTGGAGCAGATGTGCATGGCAACCAGTCAGCTTCTTTCTTTCGTTTTCACATCTTAACTGAACAGACTGAAGGCAGAAGCTGGATTGGTTGCACAGCTGCTCCAGATTTTGTCTGCTCCATTTTTTGTAAATTCCCCCATTTGCGTATAAATGGAAAAACCCTTTAATCACAGAAGTGGTAACACACAGTGATAATGCTGACAGCACAAGAGGATTCAACTACTTAAAGCATGCCGTTTCTCACTTTTATATTGCTTTATACTTCTTCCAACAACAAAAACAAGTAAGCCGAACACACAATGACATAAACAAAACATACGACTAAAGTATGACACCAATATAAAGGACAGTTTAGATTTTCTTTTGTTTTACAAAAAAGTTTGTTTTTGTCTGAACAACAAAATCCACACCAGGAATGTTATCTTATTCAAGCATATCAACTGAAGAGAAATCGTTCATTAATGGTTGGCCCAAACAAATACAGATGTAAATTATGAACCTTTACAAAAGAAACTAGAGAAAAACTACTAACAGCTTGTTATAGAGTAAAAGCAACAAATTAAACAAACTTTGAAAACATTCTCAGTTTGATTGTATGTTTCAGAAATAGCAAGCCAGTAGCCAGATATCAATCTATGAAATGAATAATAATTTCTTATTAATAATTATGAAAGAATAGTCATCCTACCCAATCTGGCGATTTGTGGAAGGTGCTTGGGTGATGACCGAGCTGGACTGTGGAGATGGCATTGCTTGTTGAATTACAACGCTGGTGTCATGATTTGGCATTCTTGAATTTGATAGCTGGTGCTGCACTGGTCCTGTCATTCCTCCATGAAGGGTGATATTCTGAAAACAGAATAGAACTGATGTAAATAGGATTCACAGATTCCATGTGTAAAAACTATAGGACTGTATGTGTGTTGCTCATAACCACCATACAGTTCCATCTTGGAAAGGGGAGTGAGGCAACCAGATGTCCAGACCAAAGAACAGGCCATTGGATTTGCCTAGAGCCTGAGGGAGACTAAGTGCCAAGCAATGACTGCATAATTAGGGATGATCTTCAGGTCTGGTTTGAACATAAGTTCAACCTGAAACCAGCCCGTTCACAGTTCAATGAATGCCCAAACAAACTGGCTATATTTGGCTAGTTCACCTGCCCAAACTCCTGCCTGATGTGTGTAAACAAATATCAGCCGGTGATCTACCAGTGTACAGCGGTAGTACTGTATTGGTACGTGCCCCCCTAGGCAGTGACCAGCTACCCATGCATTTTTTTTAACAATAGTTTGCAATTTAGCATTGGGAAAAGGCCAGAGAATAATAGCAAATTCAGCTCCCTTAGACTTCAATAGGGTTTGGCAATATGTTCGGGGTTCACGGACTTCCTGCTGACTTCGCTGAACTGCCTGTGAACCAAACTTTGCTCTGTATACCCGTCCATATGTGCAAATCAATAAGAGTGTATCAGTGCTGGGAAAGTTAAGTCTCATTACCAATTCTCAGTGTAATAAAGTGACTCGAAGGTTTCTTGCTGAACTGTGTTTTGAAGCTCTTTCCTGGATGGATGCCAATTCTCTCTGGCACGATATACATACCTTCTTTTAGACACAGTGATGTCACCACGGGGAATTCTGTGCTTCCCTATGCAATGCAGGCAGATCATGGGCAGATCATGGCTAGTGTGAGGGGGCAGCAGAGTGCTGTATACAGCCTCCTGAAAGCATCACCGCGCCCTGTCTTAGTACTCTGCTTGTTCTTGGTAAGTTATTCCAGTATAAAAAAAGCCTTGGTGGGTTGATGTTAGTCTGATAGAGTGGACACTCCTATGCAGGCTGTATTAGCATACAAACTTCCCTAGGTAATGCTCAGATGTGATGCCAGGCCTCCATGGTTAATATAACTTAAATTAATGAATTTATTTATTACGGGTATTTATATAGCGCCGACAATTTACACAGGGCTTTACATCAGTCCCTGCCCTCAAGGAGCTTACAAGCTAATGAAAGGGACCTTCAAACCGGGAAGGAAAGAACTAAATGATGCTGGGTGTTCTCCATCTAGGAAATGAAGCTTGCTCTAGCTGACTTGCTGTGGCTTCTAATGCACACTCTGAGAAGCTCAAAGTATGCAGTGAAATCAAAGCCAGCAATTTCATTGCACAAAAGTAGCCTGTACAACTGTGCAAGACTGAAGGTATGGTTTTAGGCTATATATACATATATAGATCTATATATATATACTGTTGCTGTATGTTATGATTTCTCAGGAATGTATTCACAATTATTTGTAAACTTACTAAAGGTCCACATAAAGTGAGGTATTGACAGTCTTTCCCAAAATTCAGCTCTTAACATACTCTTTTTTCCCCCCTTGTATTTGTTATGAATAGTATATGAATAGATTAATGGCCACAATAAACTATTATATTTGGCCTGTAAGAATTTATTTAGGATATAATGTATTAAATGATTGTATTTACATATTTTGCTGTGTAGTACTGAGAAAACTTCATAACAGCGATAGATATTTTTATTTTACTTCCTACTTCTCTGCTCTCTTACTTTAAAAAAAATCTTAAATATAGAATTCAAAATTTAAAAAAAGCAGGGCAGCTCCAATTTCAACATCTTGATCAGTCTCTTGGGAATCATGAACCTCTCATGGCACTCTACGAGGTTCATATAGCTCTCTCTTTGCACAGCGCTCACGTCCTTGTTTTCTCTCTTTCAGTACAATGCTGAAAAACAATACTTGTTTATGCTGAGCTGTGGTCCCTACAGAGATAGCTTGCAGTACTGGAATGTCTCAATGCAGCAACACGACATCAGGTTTCTGTTTGGTCCCTCAGCTGTCAATGCCTTGTGTAGTTTTGCCTATTTCCTCTGCTATGCCCCAGTCATTCCAGTGCTGCCACCATATTCCAGCTTTTATTTTTCCAGAGCAGTTTAGAAAATACACCCGATTGGCTGCTTCGGGCGACACCTTCACTTTTATTTTGCTAACATTTTATATGCGGCTATATTCATGGATAACAAGCACAACTCTTACATGTTTTCTCAGTATTAGAACATTTTGGACCATTAGGTAGCGTTTGCATCACTCCATGCTGAGATAAGTGTAAACTAGTTTTTGCATACAGTAAAGAGACTGAGGGGTAGGGTTGCGACCAGTTCTTCAAGCAAGACCCTAACAATCTAGCAACGCGTGGACATTTTTTGGGGGAGAATGAGTCGTGGCTTATTCATATGTAAAAAGTGCCACCCATTAGTATGTAAATATTACAGTTGAGACTATTTTCAGTGGAGGGCCAGTAGCGCCTATCTTAATTTTGGTTGCCCCTGTCTGCCTGACATCTTGTGTCCAGGTTTCTCCTGCCATAAAACCCGGACACAGCATTCAAAACCCGGACTGTCCGGGTGAATCCTGAACAGGTGGCAACCCTACGAGGGGTATATTTATAAACAGTTATAAACAAATCAAAGAGACAATCTCTGTGAATGTTCTGTGAGAATTGAGGCAAAAACAAACATTCTTAGTATATTTTCTTTTCAGGTCGAATGTAATGATCTGAGAATACCACATTATGGACACTAGTAGGAGCTGAGGAGCACAATAAAAAAGTATTTTTTTTCAAAGAAATCTGGTTTTTGCCTCTATTCATAGAAAATGAACAACCACAGCCAGGGTGAATAGCTCTACATATTGTTTATCAATAGACCCATAATTGTGTATTTGTTGAATCCATTGACATAAGATAAACAGGTTGTGAAAGGTTTTTTAAATTTTTACACTGTATGGTATATAGGGATGCACAGATACTTTTCGAGTACCAGTGCCGATACTTGGCATTTTCATGAGAACTACCAGGGTTGCAGCGGTTGAAGCTGGGACCTGGCTCTGGCACTCCACCACTGTCCTGAAATCATTAGTTTGTATTGTTTTCGAAAAACTGTCACATGACAATAAACAAAAATGTATCAGTACTCGTACTTGTAAGTACTCGGCAAGTACCAGTACTCGTACTCGCAAAACAGGTATCTGTGCATCCCTTTATTTATATTTATAAAAACAAAATCGTACATTAAAACAGAGATGTACAAATCCCAGAAGCTCCGTGTGCTCCTTACAAATGACAGCTGCCTCCTAATTTTTGAATTTTTCTCTAGTGTAGTCTTGGAGCTCAAAAGTATCGGTACATGTACTCGTACTTGTACCGAGTACTGTACTTGGTATCTGTGCAACCCTAATGGTATATATTTTGGTAACACACATTTTTTAGGTGCCTTTGCTATCATCAGCCCATACAGTATTTTTATTTTCGTCTTCATCTCCTGTTTGCCCAAAGAATATGTGAGGGCGCCACAAGCACATTAGTACTAAAATCTGATCCCTTTCACTATCCTCACCTATTCAGAAAAAAAATCCTTTTACACTATGGATGTAACAAGGCTTATTCAGCAGATGGCTGGGCATGAAGGGATTAATGTGGGGTGTATCATAGCAGCACAATCTTGGCATTATGTGTGGTGTTATTCCTGTCCACGTTGGAATCTTGTTTCAAAGGGCATGTTCCAGGGTGTTCCTGTAAGGAAGGTCATATACATATCTGTCTGCTGGTGGCCTCCACTGTCTTCTTCAATTGGATCCTGGTTGCTGGGCAGGAGGAAGCAGCTTTGCAGCACCTAGTTACTGCTGCCCTATATTTTTCCAAGATACCTTAACAGTTGCTGGGCACTAAGACTCATCATACATTCTGGGGGACCTTATTTAAACTTCATCAGCCTGTGCCTCTGTGCTTTTTTATAAACTTCCTGCTGACCAAGTGCAGCTGATATGTCTACTTATTCCTGTTACTGACCTTTGCTACACTCACAGATTATGTCTTCTGTCTGCCACCTGTTCTAGCTTCTCCTCAACCACCCATCCACCAGAGGGTTTGCCATCTTGTACATCTCCATTGCTGCACAGTACATGTTCCCTTTACCTACCCTGGGTTCACTTGCAACATACTACATACAATATATAACTTTGCGTATTAAATCCTGGGGGCAACCTTGTACCAATAGGCCTGCTTGCCTTAAGGGAATGGGGGCTGCTAAAGGTGAAGCCAGGCTTGCCCGCTATTTACTCTGGAGTATCTGCATTTTGACCTTGCATTTCCTCCCCGTCACATTCTCCATGAAATAGAATCAATGAAAAATCCAACAGCATATGTAGATATTCCCACAACTGAAATCCGCTAATTCTAGTCAGAAATGTGGCAATTCTGTAGAGATTCAACTACTTTCGACCAGTCTTCTATCACAGAAAAAAATAAAATGGCTAAAAGACCCCTACTGACAATAATTTTGATAAAAACTATAAGTAGTAGGTGACATTCACCCATCTCATTCCTACATTTAAGAGCTGGTTGCAAGCACTGGACTGCAATAGATAGAAAACTGCCTTGTGTATGGTCAACAGAGACATAAGAAAAAGGTTAGGTTTAACTCCCCTATATTTAGCAAAACTGAAATACTAGTTTTGATTGAATGGATCTTTTAATTGCTCAGTTTATAGGGAGGTGAGAAAGAGTGACATGAATGTAGACCCTGATAAGCAGAATGTTACAGAATGGAACTAATAATAGCAGTCAGGCTGTATATTCAACCCCGTGATTTCAAACATTTGTTTTACGATTTAAGATGTATTTAACACCTCTGAAGGCGTAAGACTCAAAGCTGTACCTGAACAGCATTAAACCAGTTGCACAAAGTAAAATAAATACAGCTTTCAGTGTGGACGTCTTATGGGCTTCAGCCAGTCTGGACTCAAACTGGAGTATTTGGAATAAAAGTTCAAAG